GAATTCTGTTTGCTACATTAAGCCCTCCCTGCCTAAGTTTTGAAATGGATTGGGTAATCTGAATCTCCAACAGTACCCCACCTTGTATAAGAGGAAGACCCCCAAAAGTGGGGGAGGATTCCAATGACCTCCAGACCTTATGTCATGCCAATTTCATGCCAGCTCAAAAAGCTAATTGAAACCCCAGGAAACTATTGATTTCTGCCCTCTCCAACAAAGATGTCAGCAATGTCAAAAGGGTACTAACTTATATTTGAAAGAGGATATTAAGAAACAGCCATTCAAATCATCCCCTAGGGAATTTCATCAGTGGAGATCACCAAGCAAATATACAATTATGAATCTGATTCAATTCAATAAGTGCCTACTATGTGCTCCTAGACTAGGTGCTAGTGGTTGTATAAATGTGTAAATTTCTACTTGTATGCAAATGCAAAAAATAATAAACAAATGCCCCCTACTGTAATCAAGCTAATAGTTTACAAGGGTTATTTTCCATTAGATTAAACTCCTTAGACATTGACACTGAGTGAGACTTTCAAGAGTTTTAGTGATATTCTCAGGATCTTAGACCTGGAGCTCGAAGAAACCTCTGAGATTTTGTCAAATGCCCTCCTTCTAGAGATGAGGATAATGAGCCCCAGATCCATAAAGTGACTTACCTGAGGACATATACGTAGTAAGAAAGAGAGTTAGTAATTGAACCTAGATTCTTTTGACGTCACATTCTGTTTTTTTTCCCCTAGAGTCAGTGTAAGAGTAAGGAATCACAGAATAAGAAGGGACCTCAGACACCATCCACCTCTGACCTATAATCTTCTCCTCCTAGTTCAAGTCACACCTGAACAATAATCAAGAGATTCTTGGAACCCCTTGGAGGCCATATGAACATACAGGCTTTGCTTACAGACTTCCAATGAAGGGAAGTCAGTTTATCTAGAGTAATATTTCATTCCACCTTGGCATAGCTCTCACTGATCTGTGATCTCATCAATGGATATCTCCCTCCCCCCATTATATATAACCCCTTTGGTTTTCCCTCCAAGTCTCACTTCCCTGCCTCTAACATAATACGACAAATATGTAGTAAATACATATTCCAATTTATCCACTGCATTTGATCCTAAAAATTCAAATACAAAACTAAAAATGCCTTTTATTTTGTTGGTACTCACATTCTCCCAAAGATTATCTCCTTTACCCTCCCTCCATTAACAGGACACCACTTTTTATCTGATCCCTAGCAGTCTTTGGCAAATAAAATACCCTTAATAAATGTCATTCATTCATTCAATAGAAAACTTAGAGTGTATATGAAACATTTCAAATATTCCTTACCACATCAGCAGACTGGCCCACTCCCCCCCCCCCAAAAAAGGCCATCTGTGAGCCTCTGATTCCTGATTCTAGTTCATCTGTGGTCATCTGGCCTCTCGTAATTGGTGTACGAGCTTCTGAACACATCATTCCTGTACCAGCTTGAGATGATAATGGTTCTTAGAATACTTATTTTTAGCTCTTGGTCTTGCCAGTCCAGTGACCATATTCCTCTTTGAGCTATTGTCTCTTCCTTTGAGTTTTCCCTTTCTTACAATGTTTGACTTTGAGAGCCAGTCTTTCCCATCGTATGCAGTCCACTTAATTGAATGTGCTGAATTGAATTGCTTCTTCGAGGTGTCAACTTTTCTGTCAAATATCCCTGAAAGAGGTGACATGAATTATGCCATGCTTCATACCTGATGTCCATCATAACACCAAGAAAGTTTTGGGAAGGGTAGATAGGGTTAATTATCTGGATAGAAATATCTGTAAATAATGATCTTGTAGAACTCCTGTTGAGAAAATAAGGAATGATACAGAAAGAAAGATTGAACTTTCACACAAGTTCTCATGGCAACTTCCCTGAGCTTAAGTATAAAGGTACAAACATACATCACACAGATATTTCCTGATGATAGAAACAACCCAGATAGCATTCATCAACATGAAAAACTCAAAGCACATGGAATGGTATTGGGCTCCATCTTTGACCCTGTTTTGTTTAACATTTTAATCAACAAGTTGTATAAAGACATATGATAGATGGAATGCTTATCAATATGTGCATGACAAGAAGCTGAACAGAATAACTATTTTGGATTGCAGAAACATGATCCAAAAACTTTGTGACAGACTGGAATGATGGGCCAACTTTAATAAGATGAAATGTTATAAGAATGAATTTAAAACACTACTCCGAGATCAAAAAAAAAAGAAAGAAAGAAAGAAAGAAACTTAGCTGCAAAAGTCAAAGATGGAGTAGACCATGACTAGGGAGCAGTAGATAATAAAAAAACTGGGAAATTTCATAGATTTGAAGCAGTATCATGTAGAAGTAAAAAAGCTGATTGAACCTAAGATTAGATTAAGAGAGAAGTAATGTCTTAGTGTGACCATTGCACTCTACCTTGGCTAAACCATAGCAATAAGTAGAGTGTTAAATCTTGGTGGAATAATTAAAGAGAGACTCTAACAAACTGGAGGGTGTTCACAGCAAAATGCCCAGAATGTTGCAAGGACTCACATTAATCTGTCAAAGAATCAACTGAAAGAGTCATTCATGTTCAACCCAGAGAATATCAGACTTGGTGTGTGTGAGGGGAGGGAGGAGACAGAAGAGGAGACAAGACCCAATAATTGTCTTCAAATATTTAAAAGTTCATCATGTGGAAGAGTGATTTGGTATTCAAAGTAATTCCAGAGGGGAGAACTCAGATGAGTAGGTACAAATTGGATGGAGATAGATTTCAGTCCAATATAAGAAAGACCTTTCTAATAATTAGAGCTGTCTACAAACAAAATGGCATAAGCTAATTAGAAAGACAATACGGCATAATGAATACAGGGAAAGCCTTGGATATGGAATTCATGAGTTCAAATTCTGTCTCTGACACATAGTGGTTATGTTACTCTGGGCAAGTTACTTAACCATTCAGTGTTCCCAGGAAATTCTACAAGCTAAAGAGTTGCTGGTCTACATCAGTGGATGAGTTTCAGTGATAAAAATAACCATTCTAGTGTATCCCTCCCCATCCCCTCATATGCAAGCAACCTTGCACTGTAAGGTATTCTCCATCACTGGAAGAATTCAAGCAGAGGCTTGCTGACCATGTGAAAGATCGTGATTGAGAGCTTTCTCAAGTAAGATAAGATCTAGGACAAGCTGACCTTCAAAGTTTCTTTCAAATCTAAAATTATATGACTTCTGTGAATACAACCCGTGGACCTAATTCCCTTAAGTGTTTTGAAAGCTACTAAAGTATAAGATAGTGTCCTTGATGGGATAGTTAGTCTTCTGTGTTTTGCCTTCATGTTAATAATCAATCCAATATTTTAAAAGGAAATATATGATGAGCTTTTTCAACTTTAAGAAAAATAATTTTACTTAGCTATTACCATTCCAGTTAGTCATGGTGGAAGGGAACAGTGGACACACCACTCCAAAAAGCTCGTGGTTAAATGAGATGTCCTTGAGACCTGAGACTACAAAATCCCATGCAGGAGCCCTGGAATTGGGTGGTCCTTTCAACTCTGTTATCCCATTTGCATGGCATTCATTTTTCCTATAATATTAGAATTGTAGAATGTTAAAGCTCAAAGTAGCCAAGAAGAGCAAATCATCTCATTGCCCCATTTTATAGATGAGTAAATGGAGGCCTATGGAATGGAAAAATTTGTCTCAAATCACAGAGATGGGTGATATTTCCTTCCTCCTGATGATAGCTTAAGATCTTTTATCCTGTCATTAGCTCTTTTACTGAGAGGAAAGTAAATTGAGTGGGAAGAAGAAGAACATCTAGTATAGCTCCATTCATTTTAGAACTCATAGACTATGGACCTATATTTGGAAAAGACTTTTTGAAGTAATATAGACCAATATTCTTTTTTGCATATGATCAGTTGAGGCCAACAGAAGATAAGTGACTAGCTCAAGGTCACTCAAGTAGAAAGTAGCAGAGTAGGATTCTGATCCCCACTCCTTTAACTCTAAATAGATTTCTCTGCTCCCTGATATATAGAGAGATAGTGAGATATCTATATATCTATATATATACATATATATAATATACACACATATATATTGTGTATATACATATTATATGCTTATATATTTATATCTATACTATTCAAAAAATAGATAGAGATATAAGATCCTAATTTCTTTCCTTATGAACAGCTTTGAGGGATGTTTTACTGGGGCAGTAGTTTGAACCTAAGAACTCAGACAACTTTTAGATTTTCTGAATTCCAGCAATCTATCTTTCCATTCCACATATAAGTGAAAATTGACTGTAATGATAATGTATGGGTATGGGTTGGGGGAAGGCATGGGCAGAGGGGAGGGGTGGAGAATGCAAAAGGAACAACTATGGTGATTGTTTATACCATAGGTTAAGGATAGGGCCTAGACCTTTGATTTTATTAGTAGGAGGAAACTCCATCTCTGAATGCAGTCTTTTATCACCTTCCAGAGGGTTGACTGGAACAGTAAGAGGTTACATGATAAGATCATGGTCAGTCAATATGGTTTAGAGCAGGGGTTCTTAAATTTTTGTGTGTTATGAACCCCTTTGGTAGTCTGGTGAAACATACGTGCCCCTTCTCTATGTAATGTTTTGGAATGCATAAAATGAATTTTGTAGCATTATAAAGGAAACCAATTATTTTGAAATACAGTTATCAAAATAAAACAAGTTCCTGGATCCTTGGTTAAGAGTCCCTGGTTTAAAGGCTAGATATGAATACAAGCTGTCCTGGCTCCAAGGCTACCCTGCACCATTCTGCCATGGTTATAATACATCACTTTCCTCACCTCACATAACTTCCTAGTTCCTTGCTTTCATGGATGCTTTAGGAAGCCCAGGACAATAGTTCATTCATGGCAGCCATTCATGCCACGTATGTTCTGAGTAAGGTAAGAGAAAATGATTGGGACTGACTGCCATGTGCTTTCTCACCAGGACAAAGAAGTGAATTTGGAGCAAGTACATAGACGTATGAACAGCTTAATTGATGAAGATATAGCTCACAAGCAGATTTCTCCTGCATCTATTGAGATCTCAGCCTTGGAGATCGGTGGCATGCCGCCCAGCCAGACCTTGGAGCCGGTTCGCGAGTACCAGAACACTCAGCTTTCGGTCACCACCTTCTTGCCTGAACAGAGCAGTCACGCGGCCAGTCGGACACTATCAGCAGCAGCAGGCAGTAATCTGCCACTGCCTCTCAGCAGCTCAGCAACCATGCCCTCAATACAGTGCAAACACAGATCTCCCAACGGGGGACTGTTTCGTCAGAGCCCCGTGAAGACCCCTATCCCCATGTCATTTCAGTCTGTGCCTGGGGGCGTCATTCCAGAGGCTATGGAAACTTCCCATGGAACATCCATATGATTGACACCCACCCACCCTTCTGCCCACCCACCCAACCAGCAGAGCTTTTTAATACAACTAAAAACAAACAAACAGAAAAAAAACACACAAAAGACTCTTACATTTTTCTTGTACATACCTGTAAATAATGACAGAATGAAGTGGGATAAAAGTGTATTTTGAATATTCCCAATTTTCGAAGTCAGTAAAAAAAAAAAAAAGAAAAAAAAGAAAAAAACACAAAAACAAGAAGTGTATGAATGAATTTGTAAATTTTGTTCTATATGAATAAAAAGGCAAACCACTTGTGATCATTCTGAAGTGCCAAAGAAGCCCTGTTCCTGGGCCTGAGGGCAAGAAGCAATTGTCGGGACCCCATTCCCTTTTGGAGGGCACCATGGGTTCCCATGTCCTTTGTGAGAGCCCACAGGTATTTGCTGCTGATTGTAAAGTGCCCCTTTGGCATCTGCATCCCCTCTCCTCTGAATCTTTCCTCTCCTGGCCTGTACTGTTAGTCTGACCTTCTAAGTTTGGGCAAAAAGCTGCAAAATTGACATTGTCAACCTCTATTTCATTAAAAAAAGAAAGAAAGAAAAAAAAAACAAGGTAACAGTGGGATAGAGGGAGCAGATAGGATATTGGTGACAAAGCTCCTGAATTATCTTTATTTTTCCTATTAGGAAATACCCAGCTGGTCACTGTGGTTCCCCCCATTTCATGCTATATGACTAACTTGGATTTCTTCTTTGCATATGCTCCCCTCAACATTCCTTCGAGTTGAAACAAAACAGAAAGAGATGAGTTGTGGGAAAGTGATGCAGTACTCACTCTGATGGGGAGGGGTAGCTGTGGTGGGTATTGTATCTGGTTGAGATCAGGCATGGTCACAGATGATGTGAGCGCAGACATAGATGATGGGAGAGTTGTTGACACAGATTATAGTTAAACGTAAAAAGAAAGATGAGGACCTGCAGAAGGGGATACTTTGGTCCCTATGTGTGAATTGGGTGAAATCTTAGCCTGCCGTGGAGCCTACTGGTGTACAGTAGCTCCAATCCCATAGACAAATGCTTGTGCAATTCGAAGATTTAGAAGATGTGCCATTCCACTCCTGTGACCATTAAGTCACCAAATGGTAAGGTTTGAATTTATACCGAACTGGTGCCGCTTGCTACCTCTTCCCTTTTGATCTCTTCTAGACTAGACTCATTAATGCATCTCCATATGAAGGCAAGTTAGCAGGAAAATACCATCCCTTACAGCTAGAGCAGCCCAATTGCTGGGGGAAGGGGAAAAATAACAGCAGCAAAAAGATAGCCATTGAAATTCTTGAACCAAGACAGGAGACAAACATCATTAGGAGTTGAATTATTCAAGTAATCGTGGAATGTATCACTTCAGCTCCTCTCCTTTTGCAGATGGCTGCATTTCTTTTTCTTAACCTGACAGTTTGGAAAATGCCACGCATCTCCATCCCTACGGAGCAGAGTCATGCATTCAGTAACAGAAACAAGATGAACAAAACCTAGATGACTCCCTTCAGTTCCCTCCCCCACCCAAAAAAAATTATAATCAGACCAGCTTTGACCTAGAGGGTTGGGCAAGGAGAGGAGAGGAGAGAGTATAGGCTTGTGTTCATGGAGAAATGAAAAGTCACATTGATCGCCTTGTCTATGGCCTTGTATAGTTATTCAGAAGATATATCTATGGGGGTGTTAATGAGCCCAGAATTGATTTCTTTACTAAAGTCCCCAGTAAAACGACTGAGCAGCAAAGAAAGAAAGACTACATCCAACAGTCGGTTAAAAACACCCTGAGGAAAAGGATCTTTATAATTTTATTATTTACCTCTGAACATTGAAAATGTGTGTGGTGGTATAATGGAAACCAAGGTGATTAAAATCTATTTCTCTAATCAAGACAAATGTAATCTGAAGTTGATGCTGCTCACACTTCAGTCATGGGGAGGGAGGAAATACTTACTTTAGACGCTTAATAGAAAAATAGAATTTGGGATTCAATTAAAAACAGGAAAGTAGAATATGCTATATGCTTTCCTTTGGCACTTTGAGGGCCTAGCTCCAGGAATCCAAATTTTCATATATTATATATATGTGTGTGTGTGTATATATATATGTATATATATATACACACACACACTCACACACAGATATATACATACATATATGTATGTATATAGAGACATGTACACACATACATGTATGTATATATAGACATATACATGTGTGTATGTATACATAGACATATGTGTGTGTACACACATGTGAATGTATATATGTATACATACATACATACATACATGTGAATTGATCTGTTTTCTCACTGCCTTATCTCACACCTGAAATCAGTTTCCTTTCTAAAATAGTGTGTTCATCATGGTGTGTTGTACCATGCTTATCTGTTTGACTTAGATTAGAGCAGATGATTGAGAGGATGAAGGAGGCATGCAGACAGGGGAAAGAGGAAAGCGTGGAGAATGGCGAAGGAATGGAACAAATGGAGATAGAGAAGGGGGAGAGATAGAGAGAGAGGGAATTAGGGAGGGAGAGAGAAGGTGAGAGGGAGGGAGGGAGAGAGAGAGAGAGA